ACAAATCCATTCATGTGATAAAATGGCATAAGACTGATTCTAAAGCTTATACAGGGATGCAAAGGACCCAGAACGGTCCAAACGAAATGGAAAGATAAAGACAAGGCACTGACAATTCCCGACTCCAAGGCTTACAAAGCAACGGGAATCAATGCAGTGTGTCCTTGCGGCTAAGACTCACGCTAGGGGAGCTGAACAGAACAGAGTCTAGAACACACATACACGCAGCATGCACATGTGAACGCAGGCATCTAACAGGTGTGTAAGGGCAGTCCGATCTTTTCTAGAAATAGAATTTGAGCAGCTGGATGTCCCTTCACAACATACCTCCTGCCGTATACAAAAGTTAACGCAAATGGACCAGTGGCTCTCGGTGCACCCAGTGTCCCTGCTTTTGTCTTCACAGTTGTTGTGAGCATCTCCGAGGCCTCCTCGGTGGGCAGACTGCGTTGTGCCTCTCTTGGCTGCCACCCCCAGGGAGGGGCTGTGCTCTCTCGTCTTTCGACTGAGTCTCAGTCTGCTGGTGGGCTTGTGTCCTGGGTGGTGACCTTCGCAAGTGTGTCTTAGCTCACATCTCTCCGTGAGTCAGACAGGAAGGCAGCCGGCTGCAGTATGGTAGCTGCCCAGTCCTCGACAAGTCTTTGCAGTCCAGATTGCCCCGGGCATATGTCAGACTGTTCACTTCCCCGGTGCCACGCTGGGTGTGGCAGCGGTTTCTCAGCTCCTCACGGTGGCTGTCGGAAGGAGCCCCTGGGATGAAGCCCAAGAAAGGGTGGGTGCCCAAAAGACATCCCCCGAGCTTCTCACTGAAGCCTGTCTCTACTCAGCCCCCAGCCCTCAACTTGCCATTAGATGCCTGTCGGGTCTGTGGTGCCGACCGCGTTGTGATTCTGAGTTTACTCTGCACCTTCTGTTCTCGGCCATATCCAGAAGAGCTGTTGATTTTTGAGTTCTGGATTTTCTTGTCGTAAGGACAGGGGTAGTTTCAAGCTTTTATGAACAGCCACTTTTTAGAACAACCACCGTGGGAAATAGCTTGGCAATTTCTCAGAAAGTTAAACAGACCCCTGCTGTATGACTCAGCCTTTGTATTCCTCGGAATTCACCCAACAGAAAGGACCACATGTGTTTGCAGCAGTAGTACTTAATAATAGCTCAAACTGGAAGCAACACAAGGGTCCATCCATATGTGGATGGGTGAACAAACTGTGCTAGGGTCTATGCAATGCAACACGACCAGCCACAAAAACGGAATCGATCACTGATCCAGGCTGCAATAGAGATGAATCTCAAAATTACCATCCCTGACAAAGGAAGCCAGACGAAAGAGTCCACACTCTGGGATCCTATATACACAGAACTCTGGAAGTCCACTGTGACAGAAACCAGACCGGGGGTGAGTCTTGATGGGTAGGGAGCAGGAAGGAGAGGTGCTAAAGGGACGGGAGGAGACTTTGGGGGTGATGGGTGTGCACCTAATTTGGGTTGTGCTGATTGCTTCACAGCACCCAAATGTGTCCAAGCTTATTAAATGGTGCACTTGAAGTACACGCAGCTTACTGCTCACCCACTACATCTTAATAAAGCTCTAAAGAAAAAGAGATTCGGAACAAATTGATGTTGTCCTTCCAGAGTGTTTTCCTTTTTCCAACAGGAAGGGACATTAGCGATCTCCCAAACTCGTCTGTGTCTGCGTGCACCCAGAAAGTGGAGGCGGGCTGTGACACGCACAAGTGTCTTGTCCCTCTGGGCTTGGCCACGGTGACACCTTGAGTCTCCTTCCACCCTGGTGCATCTCTGTCTCACTTCTCCAGTTTGGTGGCCTGCAGCCCTCAACAGGGTGCACCAGAATTAGCCCTGCATGATCTCTGCAACTAGGTCACCACAGGCCACTTTGTATACCTGGTTTTATGGAAAGGCTTGTTCTGGGTGGAGGAAGTGGGCCACCGGTTAAGAATTCTAACCACCCTGAGACCACCATGCCACATGTGAGGCCACATGTGCTGCTCCGGCTGACAGCCCCAGTTGAGGCCCAGCCAACAGCCAGCACTGCCACTGGCACTAGACGTCCAGCCCTGGATGGACACCATGGATGTCCAGCCCTGTCTGACCACCAGCTGCCTGGCATCCCCTCCAGCCCTGGCCACACTCTCTGGAGGGACTCACTGATGGCCTCCTGGCCGACAAGCTCCTCCCCAAAGTTCAGACCCAAGGAAACACGAACATACTCGAGAGCTGCTGCTGCCTTACATGCTGAGTCCTGGTAGTTTGTTCTGCAGCAGTTGTAAGCGAACCAGGCCTGTTGGGGACCCCAGGGTGACAGGGAAGGGTCACTCATGCTGACTCCGATCACAACAACCTGAGCTTCTTGAAGGAAAGCTTGGGTCCGGTGCACCTCCTTCACCTGGGAGGCAAGGACACGGCACAAGGGGAGGTAGCTAGCTTCAGAGTGTTGACACCATCCTGGTAAACACAGGGCTGCCACCCCGGAGGTGACAACTGCAAGCCCAGGGTGGTGGGTGTGATGTGTTGCAGATCACGATGGCTAGGCCTACCTTGGTCTTTTTGTTGTTGTTGTTGTTCTGGTGGAGGGCAGTCCTGGCCAAGAAGAGGACTTTTTTTTTTTTTTTTTTTTGCCCATTCACCATAAAAACATCAAACATTGTCTCCTGCAGACGCTGGCCATTCTCCCTGTTCCAGTCAGGCCTCCCCTCTTGGTTTCCTTATCTACACTACAAAGGTACTGAGGATGCAAGCCAAGCTTTTTGTCTCATCTGTCAGAGTTTCTACCTTGCCTCAGCTATGTAAACTTTACTGTCTTCTGTGTCTTATTCTTTACTTTTGTTAATCTCTCAGTCTTGTTTGTCACTCCATGAACCCTTCAGCCGTGTGGGCCATGGTCATTGGCACGCAATGTGGGGCACGTGGAGTGAACAAACAAACCACAAAGCCAGTCAAAATAAACAGGATAAAGGGTGAGAGACACCTCCAGTTGAGCGTATGCAAGAATATAAGTTGGGGAAGAGGTGAATTACAATATCACCAGGTGTAAAGTATGAGACAAACAAGACTATTACACCCATGAAGTAAATGAAACAGTTACACAAAATACAATTTTCCAGGATTGGTCTCGTACAAACTACAATGTTACCAGCCACCTTCTGGCATCAGTACCACATATATCATCTAAGTACCTCCAAAGAGATCTGTGGCAATTGGCTGACAGTTTACAAGTGATCACTGTCTCTACAAGTTCTGAAAGAGACACATAAACAGCTCACTCACCCCTGTCAGATGGTAAGACTCACTGTCCTAAAAGTTATGTCTCTGGTTACCCTGCTTGCCACCACTGTAGGTGTTACATCCATGGCCTTAGCACACGATATTCAGAATGTATAGTTTGTTGATTATTTAACAAAAAATACCTCTTATGCCCTTGAGACCCAGAAAGATGTTGATGTTAAGTTAAAAATACAGATTAACGCCTTAAAATCTTTAGTGTTAGAGACTGACAATCAACTCAAAGCCCTACAGTGCCGTCAAAGATTACAGTGCCTTGCTGGATACCCTCACACTTGTGTCACTGCTCTCCCTTACAATGAGTCAGAATGGGATTTTGAAAAGGTTGCTGCACATTGAATGGGCATCTTTCATCAAACCAATCTCACCTTAGATCTCCAAAAGCTTCATCGACAGATCTTGTCCATTCAACACGCTCATGTTCGTTTCCTCACCCCTGGAGACGTGACAAAATCTGTTCTTGATTCGATAAATAGATTCAGTCCTTTCAGCCTGGCCCCAACATAGCATTTCTATGGTCATAAAAATTCTGGTTTTCCTGCCGCTACTGATAATGTTTGCTAGTCCTCTACAGAGTCTTCCTAAGACAACTCACTAAACTTGCCTTGAGACGTCATCACAAGCTGCAGCTACAAAGCAGAACAGGGGGAGATGTTGAGAGCGATGCCTGTAGATCACCACGGCCAGGCCTCAGTTGCCTCCTCCCGCGGAGGGCGTGCCTGGCCAAGAAGAGGACTCTCTCCCTTCCCACCCGTTTGCCAGGAAAACATCAAGCACTGACTACTGCTCCAATCAGGCCTCCCCTCTCAGTTTTCTTAGCTACACTATGAATAAAGGTGCTGAGGATGCAAGCTTTTTGTCTCATCAGGACAAAGAGTTTCCACCTAGCCATAGCTATGTAAACTTTACTGCCCTCTTTGTCTTCTGTGTCTTATTCTTTAAGTTTCTTAATTTTTTGTTGTCGTTTCTCATGCCGTGAACCCTTCAGTCATGTGGGCCAAGGCACACACCAGGGTTGGCTCTCGGTGCATCCCTGCCCACTGGGCCCTGAGTTCGAACCCCAGGTCCAGGGTTGTTCTTCTAGGGACCCACAATGGTTTCAGTTCAAGTTGTGAACTTCCAAATGCAAATGTTCAGTGCTAACTGGAGTGATCTGGTTTCAATCCAGCAGAAGCCACCCCCCTACCCCCTACCCCCGCATCTGGGCTCCATGTAACTGTAACTTTGTTTTTAAAACATTACCTAGAGAAGCATTTCTCTACCAAATTGTACAAAGAACATATCAGTCTCACTCACACATATTTCCTTTGAGTTCCAACCCAGCCAGTCCTGGCAGTACCCACAAGCAGGCTGTGTTCCTTTCTTCTTCCTTCTCCTTTAATGCTGGGGACCTGGGTAGACCAGTAAGCCACAATCGGGCCGGCGTTCAGAGACCATTAGTGCAGGAAGCAGGGTGAAATCCAAAGAAGCCGCGAGCCGCCGCGTTGGAAAACACTCCATGAAAGGCCTTTTCAGGCCGTTTCTTTCAGGAGGAGTTGGTTTTTGGATTAAAGGAGTTTATTCAGGTATTCACAAATAGCCAGGCTCTCCACTCTGGCTGGAATGTGGAAACCCCTCTGTCACAATGGATTGCTGTCGAGGGGACTGGTGTGTTCCGACGGGGTACAGGATGAAAGGGGTGTGATTAGGTGACATGCCTTCAAAGGACATGAAAGGCCCAACACATCCTCAAAAGCCTGGGCAGAAATACACTCCGAAATCACTACTTTCTTTATTTTGAAAGTAGTGGTTCCAATAAGAGCCAAGGTGTCGAGGGCACGGTATGTAGTGAAGCTTGGACTAGGGTTCCTTTTTTTTTCCTCCTTTCCTTTCTTGGGAAAGAGAAATGTTGGAAATGTCATTCCTATATTTCCTACACTCCTAGAACAATATGCAGATCCTCCTGCTTCGGGCAAAGCCACCCCTTTGATGGGCTCCCAGCCAAGCGCAGGGGGACCTCAGTGTAGGCACAGGTATGGAAATGGCTCCCTGCAGAAAGGTTTTGGTCCTCTCAGTGGTGCACTTGCTTTCCTGGAGCTCCTTTGGTTAAAGGCAGTGCCTTTTCTTTGCACGCAGGCCTAAGCCAGCAGCCCGGCCCAGCCCTCCCACAGCACCGGCTCCACACATGGCTCTGTCCTCTGATGCAGGCACGCACGGTTTGCTGAGTGCGGAAGTCTGCAGCCGGGTCCTTGCCCAACCTTACCCGCCTGCCCCCCATGGTCCTCAGTAGAGTCCTGGAGCTCCCGCCAGGCTGGAAAGTCCTGGGACGCACCCCATATGGTAGGATTAGAGCTGCAGTAGAAATTTTGGGGAATTCTGACCCCAAACGTGTGCTTTGCCGTTGTCCAAGCTCCTGTCTCCAGGTCCCTTCCATCTTTAATCCTTTAATGGAGACACTCTGACTGTGTCCACGCACTCATTAACACATGTTTAAATAATTATGGTAAAATCCGCATTTTATGCATCCTTAAGCACCCTGCCCGCTGGGCTGCTGTAGCTGGGTCTCCGCGGCTCCAAATATTTGGCACCTTTCAACGTGCGCACCAGCCGCCCGGCGCTCCTGTGGTCTTGGCCTTTCTTCCTCCCACCCGCCCGCCCCTCTCCGGCTGCACAGGAGCGTGCAGGATGAATGTGCCATTGAGAAGCCGCTGGGCAGCACCGCTCTCCGAGGACAACGTGGGCCGGCGGGCGTCTCCAGCTGAGACCGGGCTGGGCGCTGGTGTGAACAGGACAGTGTGTACACGCGCACACATCTGTGTTCACATACGCACACCTGTAGACACTATACGTGACATACACACCACACGTACATGTCTACGCACGTTAACATGCACACACACACACTCTGCACACACCTATACGTCTGCAGCACCTGTACACACAGACACAGTTACACACACCTATACGCACAGCACTGACGTGTGTGCGGGGACACACGTGCATCACACACACACGATTCGCATGGTTCCGAGTGTTTCCGCGGTGACGTTATACTGTGCTCATTTTCCCTCCCCTTGGTGTAATCCTTCATCCCAGCTGGGCCCCAGTCTTAACTCCGAGTGTCGCTCTGGACCATGCAGGCGCGGTATACGTGTTCACCTGTCACCGACAGCACCCGTTAGCATCACCCCCTTCAGGCAGCTGCAGAGGTCACTGCCGTGCTGCCCTGGAGGTCCGTCTAGGGTGAGCACGCGTGTACCAGCAGTCCCACGAGGTGCTCCCAGAGGGAGAGGCGACCTCGAAGCTGCCAGCTGGTTCAGAGGACACGTACTGCACCCGCCTCAACACACGACCCATGGTCCCTGGAGCAGCTCGCGCCCAAGGCTAGGGAGCCCTGCAGGTGGAAGGGGCAGCAGTGGGCCAGCCCAAGCCTACAGGCCTCAGGATGGCCTGGTGCTGCCACGTGTCGTTCTGGGTCCCGTGGGGGGGCACGGTGGCTGTAGCAGATCTGGGTGATGCTGCAGAGGCGCCTGCCTCCAGCCGCCCGCCCTGACCTCTCTTCAGATGCCTCGGTGCCTTTGTGTGCCTCACAGGCACAGCAGGGGACCCCTGAGCCGGTCAGTGGGGGCCATCACGGGACCCTGGCTGGGACCTCCCCTGGACCTCAGGGCCACAGCTGCAAACCTGGGGGCTTCCTTCTGGCTCCCTTCAGTCTTGGCAGAGCTTGTGAGTCCCCTTACCTCACTCCCCAAGGGGACCCAATGAAGACCCCAGCTTTGTCCCTGCACTGTTATTAATTTTCTTTAAATCAAATCCAAATCAGCTTACTTTTTATAAGAATAAAGTTAGCTTTAAGCCAAGAAATACTCCTGTGTAATTGAATTTGATGCTATATATATGCAACTGTCTTAAAAAGTCAGCATTACGACAGCGCATTTTACGTATCAGCTGCTGGAGACTTATTGAACTGTGATAAATATTGCTTTGACTCAAATCTAGAGGAGTACTTTTCATTTCCTTATGATCTGGGACAGAACACTCCATTTTTCGGGAAAGGGTCTTGCAAAATGATGGCAAAGGTATATAATTTCCAGGGTTGTTGTCATAACATTTTCAACTCATTTAACTCTCCACGCATCCGTTCATAGATACAGCCGCCCTCCATCTATCTACCTGTGCACCTATCCATCAACCATTCCACCTATCTATATACCCATCTGTCCACTCCCCACCCACCCGGCCGCACGCGTGTCTGTCCACCCATCACCCTTCCATTGTCCACACAGCAAAACTCAACTTCATTCCAACGAGGTCAGGCTTTAAGTCTCCTCAGAGACCACGCACACCTGGCACATCATCCCTAGCAACCTGAGCCAGGCCTCGCTCGGCTCTCTTGCTGGCCAGTCGGCCTTGGCCCTCCCAGTCTGCTCTCCACAGCCTTGTCCTCCTGTGGCCCCACACAGGTGACAGACGCTTCATCCCCCCTTGCACACCATGGGACATACACAGAGCACAGTGAGGAAATTGTGAAACAGTACGGAAAGTTCCCATTCAGCCCACACCTCAATCTCACCATTATGAATGCCAACCTGAATGTGGCACCTTTGCCAGGATCCATGAGAACCCAAACCCACTCTTGCCCGATTTCCCTTGGTTTTACCTGCGGTCACTTTTCTGTCTGGGTTGCGACCCCTCTGGGTGCCGTGTGCACGTCGCACCCCTGGAGCCCGCCTGGCACAGGACAGGCCCTGTGGAGTCCACCTAGCGTGGCCCCAGGTAGCCCATTCACAGGGACAGGAAGTAGAATGGTGGGGACAGGAAGTAGAATGGCGGGGACAGGAAGTAGAATGGCGGGGCCAGGGATCGGGAGCCTTAGCAGTGAAGGGGGACAGTTTCAGTTGGGGAGGTGAGACCGCTCTGCAGACAAGGGTGATGCCTCACGCCTGCTGGAGCCACACTTCAGACGGCCCCGGGGCTGATGTTCTGTAGGCGCCCTGAGATGAACGAAACCTCAACCACGGCAGCCGGGACGGATGCGGACCGATGGGGGTGTCACTCGCTCTCACCGGCGCAGTGGGATGCCTGCTGCAGGCCCGCCAGGGACGAGGCACGGTGAGAGGGACAGGTGCCACCTCCCCTCCATCTGTGGGCCAGGTGCCATCTTCCCGGCCAGCCCGAGAGGTCACCCAGGGGACAGGCTCCTGGCGGGAGGCCGTCAGCTGCCAAGATGTCACCACTCAAAGCCCGAAGGGAGCAGGAATGCAGAAGAGGTGTGACGCCAGTGTCATCCAAAGCCGAAGCGCCAGGGGCTTGGCCCACTTCAAAGGCCAGGCCAAGGAAGAGGAGCGGGAGGATCGGATTGCACCTGACAGGTGACCCGGGGCCGCCCCTCCTCCAGGGCTCCCGCAGGTCCCAAAATAGAGCCCTGTGCTGAGTGGGGTGAGAAGGGGCAGGCTGGTGCTGGCAGCTGCAGCAGGGACCACAGGGCTGAGCAGGGGGCCTGGGACATGCAGAGCCCGCCTGGAGCCCTCCTGTGTTCTGGAAGGAGGGAGAAGATGAGAAACAAGGCCCTGAGCTGTGGGGACTCCTTCAAACTGGACGAAGGCCCCTGTGCCGGAAGTACCCGACCTGTGCCTTCTCCCGGGATGGCAAAGAAAACAGGAGCACAGCCACCTGGACCACACCAGACCGAAAACACCGGAATCCCAGCCTGGGGGGGGGGGCTGGGGGGCTCTCCCTCGAGGAAACGGTGTCAGATCACTCCCCCTGCTGCGTGGTCTTCACCCCAGGCCAGGGACTTGTGGGGACCTCAGGGAGCTAGGGTGCAGGGACCCAAGGACAAATCCAGTGCCGCCTGTAAGGCGCCTGGGCTGGGAACCAGAGTCTGGATCTAGAGGAGCGCAGACATTACTGGTGGAGACAGAGCAGAGGGAGGGCTGGGGTGGGGCAGGAAGCTTCTGTCACTCTTGCACATGGGCATCGAGAGAGGGAGGTCAGCCAGAAGTGGTGACACACACGTGTAATCCCAAACTTGGGAGGCTAAGGCAGGAGGATTTTATGAGTTTAAGGCCAGCCTGGGCTACATAGTGAATCTGAGGCCAGCCTAAACTGGTTGGGGGTGGAGGTGGGAGGGGACAGAGAGGTCAGGAAGGGCCATCAGTCACTCAAGTTGCCGGGGCCTCACCTGAGGCTGGTTCCCTGATCCTCCCTCCACAGTCCCGCAGGGACAAGGGTGTCCCTGCCTTCCTCACTGATGAGCCCTGGACAGCTGGTCAGCTGGGCCTCAGACAGAGCCAGGGGCCAGTTACCCGCACAGCGCAGTGGGAGCAAAGGTGGAGCCCCACAGTGCAGCGCTCCCTGGGGTCCCAGGGCCCAGAGTTACAGCTGGAGGAGGTGACAGCTCGGTGCTGGGAATGTGTTCCTGGGGGCTGAGACCAGGCTGGACGTGTCTGCACCCGCGAGGGGACCGAGCTGGGACAGCGTCCACCCAGCCTGTGCCGAAGAGGCAGGAGCCATGGCCCCACTGGAGGCCCAGTGTGCACAGCAGTCCCTGTGGTGCCATGTCACAGGCACGACAAGACCCCAACCCATCTCCCCCACTGACTCCATGGGAGCCTTGCTGGCTACCCCCGGCTTGGCGCCCACACAAATGTCCACAGGGCAGGAGGCATCTTCCATGCCCCAAACTGTGGCCCTCTCAGCAGGTCTGGGGGAGCCCGGTGAGAGCTGGGGTGACACAGGGCTGTATGATTCCCAGGGGCCATTGCTCCCCCTTCTGTCCACAGGCATCAGGCGCCCCTTGTGGAGCACAGCCCTCTGCCATTTGATGCAATTCAGACACCGGGAAGAGGAGCTCAGAGTCACTGACGACCCCTCCCAGTTCCCCAATGAGAGCCTCACACCACCCTGGCAGAGGAAGCTGCAGGTGAGACGTGTCTTTGCCATGAAACGCTCCCCTGGGCTCTGTGGAGGCTGTGAACCCAGCGTGGACCTTTTCCGGGTGCCCCACTTGTCCCAGCACTGCCCTTCAAGGCAAAGGACACCCCAGGCTCAGGCCGGACGTCCAGATGTCACCTCTGCCGTTTCTTCATGCTGAAAAGTCCCTTGGCCTCTGCCTGCTGTGCCACTCACATTGCTTTTCAGGATGGCTGTTCTGTAAATGTCCCTCAGTCCTGGGCTGCCCGACGGCGCCTCGTGGGAGGGTGCACCTCCTGATGGGGAGGGGTAGGAGCTCTACCCTTGACACAGACCCTAGCTCAGGGCTCAGGCATCCTTTAGGCATTGCAGGTGGCAACATCTTGGTCACATTTTTGCAAAGTTAGGATTTCACCTGCTGTAAGTAGCAAGTATCTTAGTGGAGACATTTTGAGGCTATGTAACTGTGCTACACTTTTTCTTCCTCCATTTCCCCAAGTTGAGCCTGGGGCTAGGAACTCCTGGACTGCCCTGAATGGTAACTGTGAGGCCTGTTCCCTGAGACTCTGTCCTGGCCAGAATGGGCATGCGCAGAAGAGGAGGGGGCTGGATGGCCCCAGG